ACATAAATACAAGAAACTCACCCTTGTTAGTAGAAAGTTCCTCACTGGGTAGTTCACTACTTTTTTTTTTTTTTTTTCCCCCAGGTTCTTGGTTGCAAACTTAGCTTTTAAATAGGAACATAACAAATATAAAATAATGAAATGCAAGGGGATCCTCTGAAAAGTATGATCATTTTAACATTCATCAAAGTTATCCTAAGAAGTTCCTTTTAAACCCATGCAGCTGTTTCACAAAACAAGGCACATTTTAATAGTAGCTTAAAAAGGAGTGGAAATTATTCCGGCTGGTTTGCAAACCGCTGCATGTGCACATGGAGGCTTGCTGCCTGAGTAGTGTATTTAACAGAGGCAGTGGTGGAGGGTGATATATGATGTGACATTAAACGGAGCTGGAAAGTCTAAAAAATATTACTGCTGGGACTGAAACAGTTGCACTCTCGAGCCATGTGGGGTAGGAACTGATAAGCGTAAGCGTGGCTTTCAACCTTCACTTAGAAGTTAACGTAAGAATATACTAATATAATAGTCTGGTTGGACTCGAGTGCACCCTCAGCCAGTTTGCAGATGACACCAAGCTGAGTGGTGCGGTTGACACGCCAGAGGGACGGGATGCCATCCAGAGGGACCTGGACAAGCTCCAGAAATGGCCTGTGTGAACCCCAAGAGGTTTAACAAGGCCAAGTGCAAGGTCCTGCAGCTGGGTCGGGGCAACCCCCAGTATCAATACAGGCTGGGGGATGAAGGGATTGAGAGCAGCCCTGCCTAGAAGGACTTGGGGGTACTGGTCGATGAAAAGCTGGACATGAGCCAGCAATGTGCGCTTGCAGCCCAGAAGGCCAATCGTATCCTGAGCTGCATCCAAAGAAACATGGCCAGCAGGTGGAGGGAGGGGATTCTGCCCCTCTACTCTGCTCTGATGAGACCCCACCTGGAGTCCTGCGTTGTCCTGGTTTAGGCTGGGATAGAGTTAATTTCCTTCCTAGTAGCTGGTACAGTGCTGTGTTTTGGATTTAACATGAGAACAATGTTGATAACACACCGATGTTTTAGTTGTTGCTGAGCAGTGCTTACACTAGTCAAGGACTTTTCAGCTCC